ATGAGCTTTATTAAAATTAAACCAAAATATAAAAAATATTTAATAATCCATTCAATAAAAATAGGAATAGGTTCAAGGCTAAGCAATCAGGGTGGCGGGACACTACAACGTGATGTCTTGAGCTCCATTTTCTTGTCGCAGATAGGGAACCCCTTCCCCACTGAACTAACCCCCCTGAAAAAAAGGTGTCTTTGTGACGAAATCCATATCATACATAGGGGTCGTTTGGGTAAATGCATTTTTAGAAATAGTTTTCAAAGGAGATTGCACATTCTAGCGTTTGAAACGAAATTTCAAGACTGAAAAGTATTTTCACCTGTAATTGTGTTCGTCATTTCAATTCAAAAATAAAGAAATCTGTGTCTTTGCCTATACCCTTTGAAATTGATTTTCAACCAGATTTCCCTCTTACGGAGATGTCTATTTTATAAAATACAATTAATTTTGCAAAACACCCCCACGAATTAGAGGGAGTGAGAGACTATCTCAAATTTAATATTTTAGAGAGAAAAAGTATCTTAAATTTTTAGAGAGAGAAACTATTATAATTTTAGAGAGGGAAAATATCTAAAGTTATTAGAGATAGAAATTATCTCATTTTTTATGAAGAGAAACTATTTTAAATTTTACGTTTTAGGGGGAGACAATATCATAAAATTTTAGAGAGAGAAACTATATCAAAATTTAGAGATAGAAGTATCTAAAAACATTTTAGAGAGAGAAACTATCTCAAAAATTTTAAAGAGAGAAACTATCTCAAATTTTAAGTTTTAAGGAAAGAAAGCACTTGAAATTTTTGAGAGAAACTATCTCAAATTTTTTAAAGAGAAATAATCTCAATTTTTAAATTTTATAAAGAGAAAGTATTTGAAAATTCTTAAAGAGTTAAACTATCTCAAATTTTGAATTTTATAGAAAGAAAGCATTGAGATTTTGAGAGGGAGAAACTATCTCAAAATTTTTAGAGAGAAACTATTTCAAAATTTAAGTTTTAGAGAAAAAATACTTTAATTTTTTAGAGAAAAACTATATCAAATTTTAGAGAGAGTAGTACCTAAACAGTTTTAAAGAGAACCTTTCTCAAATTTTTTAAAGAGAGAAACTATTTCAAAATTTAAGTTTTAGAGAGAGAAAATATGTGAAAATATTTCGAGAGAGAAATTATCTCAATTTTTAAATTTTAGTTTGAGAAACAATCACAAAATTTTTAGAGAGGTAAACTATCTCAAATTTTAAGTTTTATAAAGAAAAAGTACCGGAAAATTATTAGAAAAAGAAGCTATCACAAATTTTAAGGTTTATACTGAGAAGGTACTTGAAACTTTTACAAAGAGAAATTATCTCAAAAATTTTAGAGAGAGAAGCTATTTCAAAATTAAAGTCTTATAGAGATAAACTACCTCAAAGTTTAACTTTTAGAGAGAAAATACCTGAAATTTTTTTAAGAGAGAACCTGTATAAAAAATTTTAGGGACAGAAACTATCCCAAAATTTTTAAATAGATAAACTATCCTAGATTTTAAGTTTTAGATAGAGAAACTCTATCAAATTCTAAGTTTTAGAGAGAAAGTACCTAAATTTTTTTAAAAGAAAACCTATCTCAAAATTTTTAAAGAGAGAAACTATCTCAATTTTTAAGTTTTAGATAGAGAAATTATCTCAAAATTTTTAAAGAGAGAAACTTGAAAGATGGACTATGTGATAAAACACGATGTATATATATTTAAAAATTTTATTTTCTTATACTAGCAAGATCACTTTTAATTTTCAATTACAAATAAATCACTCTTGAGATAAATAAATAAACAAAAATGGTTCTCATTTGCTATCACTTAAATACAACTCATTTATTCCATAAATAAGAACTTGACGCAGTGTTTTATGGGAATGGAAAAACTAAAAAAAAAAAAGCAAAATGAAATAAAGCTGTCGAATATTACCTCAACTGGACTTAATATACCACACGCTGAGTTTCTTCCTTTAAATGGTCATCAGAATAAATGACCAGTCTCTTAATTCTACTAAGTATGACAAAACTCTCTCACTATGAATCTCAATCTAGAACCAAAATGCTAATGCATCAATGCCTTAGCTTACCTCAAGCCCCTTTACTTAACCCTAGAGAGAAGAGACTAATCAAGAGATATATATGTCCTGATGTGTATGCCCCTTTTTTGAACCCACCAAGAGATGGAGAGAGATATTGCTAGCTTGGAGCATGCCCCCTTTAAAACCAACTAGAGAGAGAGAGCCCTTGGTGGGGCGTGGCACTTAGAGAGAAAAAGAGAGAGCTTAGAGAGAAAAGAGAGAAGAGAGAAGAGGAGAGGTGTAGAGATTATGAGGGAGAGAGTCCCTATTTATAGGTTTTTTATGTTTTAGGATTTGCTATAGTTAGTGTGATAAAATTGAGGTCATTGATCAAAGAAGACTTATGGGATGAGAAATGTGAATCATTCATTTCTTAGATTCACCATCAAGATTCAAATGAATGTGCTAGAACTTTATCCTTCATTTTCTAAACCGATTCTCATCAAATATTCAAATAAAAAAAACATTACTTATACTTTCTCTTTTATAGATATTCATTATTTATTTCACGTAATCTTTGAATAGTCAAATATCTTGATTCACAAGACATATTATAATCCAAGAAGGCTTCAACACAAAATAGAGAGCAAAGTTGCATGGAAGCCTCTCTCACAAAATTAGTAAGAAAATGTTCTATGGTTAAAAGGGCTTCCACATGATATGGAGGGTCCCACATATTTTAGAAAATCCCCTCATGATCCAATCCATTTTATCACAATTTCGATTGATGGGGATCAAATGGTATAGTTCATTTGTTGGTAGCTTAGTTTAGAAAGGTACCCCTTTCAGTCTTGTTCTTTGGCTTGTGAGGAGCTTTGGTGGTGCCTTTGAGCTTGTCGCAAGCTAAGGAAGGGCCTACAAAAGTCCTTGGCCCAGGTCTGGTTGTTATCAACAATTTTGATTTTTAGAATTTTAAAATAGAAGTTATTTTTCTTAGATGATTCAAAACATTAGAAATTAATTTTTTCTTATTTTATAAATCCAAATGATGAAAATAAAATAGCAAGAGAATCACAAAAAATCAAATAATCATTTTAAAAATCATATAACATATAATTAATTAAAACTAATTAATTTTAATAGGAATCAGATCTGTGTAATTCTAGGAATTATCAATAGAGATTGTATACAATGAAACCGTTTACCTTTTGTACAGAGAGGTCACAATTGCTTACAACCATCCAATGTGATATCTGCTATCTTGGGTGTGCACAAAGTTCAAAAAAGCTTTTTTTGAACTTTGAGCTTGATCAATACATCTTCTAACAATTTATTTAGACGGTCTATTTTCAAGATTGTTGAGTGTTTATAAATTTGCTCAATCACTACTTCTTTCAAAATTTTAAATTTCATAATTATAAAAAATAAAAATAAATTTTTTTTCGAGCCACCACAAGGGTTTTTGACACTAGAACTATATTATGAGGTGCACCTTATGTTACAATACAAGGAGGATGCCTTATACAAACCTCACCCATTATTATTTTTTATTGGAATATCGGGAAATTTAGACTTTTTGCCTTATCTAAAATTTTATAACGAATCAACAAATCTATTTTAAATAAATTTGACATTATATGTTATTTCTCAATAGTTATTTTAAAGGATGTTAGTTTTATATAAAAGGTTAAAATATTTAAACGTAGACCACAACTGAAAAAAATTACATTTTATGAGCATAATTTTAGAAGGTTGAGTTCGTCAATCTATATAGAAAACCCATATGGGTTTAAAATTCTACTTATAAAATTTAAATTTAGATTTCAAGTAAGAAATATAATCAATTAATATACAAATCAGCCATCAATCAGAACTTTATTTGGTCAAATAAATTGCAAGTCAATATTGCCACTCGCGTTCCTCGAGTTAAAAGCAGTAATTTAAAAGCTGAGTTGAAATGCTAAGCTTCTAATTTTAATTAACCAAAGATAGTTACAGTATTACCTTGCAAATAGATCAATAAAATATTATCGTTTGAGTTTTTATAATAATTCGTGATTGACGATATACTGACAATCAAATTTTGAATATAACAAACTTTGTAATTGTAGTATTTTAGTTAAAAATTGGGCATATTTTTTTTTTTTATCTACTAATTGAATTTTTATATATTGATTAGAAATGTCTAAAAGCACAAAAATTTATAATATTTACTTGTTAAATAAATATATTTACCAATTAAATAAATCAAGAATTAGATTCTATTGTTATTTTAGGAGGGGAGTGGATTTCACCATATGTTTAGATAGCTTATATGGGATTATGATATAAATCATTTCACATAAACTTTTCCCTATATAAACTTTGATTGGTTTAGAGCTTAGGCTCTATATAAACTTTTTCTTATAAAAAATTGGGTGTGATTTGTATAAAGTCGAGGCTCTAAACAATCAAAGTAAAACTCACCTTCAAATAATATCGAGGAATGTCATTTTAATACTGAACTGAAAATCTGTGATATCTTTAAAATATATTTTTAATTTTTAATTATAAAATTTAAAACTTAAAAAATAGTATTAGATCGAGCATATTCATGAAATATTGAAAATCGACTATCCAAAAATACCTTACGAGATGCATTGTTTTCCAAAACTTGAAATTCATAGTATTCTCATATCCATATATCTTAATATAGAGATGATCAATTTGAAGACATTTGACATCAAAACAACTTCTTCTACTGAAAATTTTGAAGTGCACCCTAATTAGAATGCTTAGCGCGTCGCACTTATATAAAACTTTTTCCAAAATTCAATATGCAAAATGCCACCTCATTTGGAAATCTCCCATACGGCTGCGCACCGCAAAGATTGCCCAGGCCGTATGTGGGCATCACACCTACGGCAGCATTTGAACCGCAGTGTATAAAAGTGTAAATAAATAGCAGAGGAAACGCGCGTAAAAGAGCATTTTTCTGGGCCACACAGGGTTCAAATTGAAGATAAAACGAAAGGAAGCTTCTCTTTCTCTATCTTGCCCTGAGAGTCCCTCATTCCAGCATCTTAAGACACCTAGAATGCTTCTGATTAAACCCTAATTATCTGATCACAGAGTCGTCCTTTTTCGTTTTTGGCGCAATTTTTTGACCAAAGGCACTTATCAGAAGATTTATCAGAAGATGGCCATAGCTCCATTCAAGCTCGCCATTTCTCTTGGCAATTGGGATAGTGGTCATAGTATCAGTAGTAAAGGAGCCTCACATACTTGTTGTAACCCATTGATATCGAGGAATCCATGGATTTATTGCTTTAGAAGCTCGAGATCACTGAGCATTCAAAAGAGGGTTGGTGTTTTCTGCGAAGCAGTAACAGAATCGAAAGGGGCTGGTGCAGGGTTGGCCGCTAACTTCGGCCAAGATCGTCTTTCAAAGGTACGTATACAGGGAAATGAATTTGGAGCTAATTTCACCGCACTTGCTTTTTAGTTCCATCTATTTCTGGGGAAAATAGCTGGTGGCCGAAACGTAGTCGTATGCACCCTTGTTTTGGGTGGAAGAATAAGAAACAGTGGGTGGGTGGTTACACTAGCCTCCATACGGTTTCAGCTGAAACTGTAAATGGAGACAGTTCTCATCTCACATTTATGGCAGCTGAAATTAGTTCAAAATTAGATATTATAGAAAAGAAGTGTACTATTTATTTCTCATTGATTAGTTTGTTTCTGGCTGAAATGCCGAAAGAGAACTAATTTTCTTGGATGTTATACGAACTCAATCGGTCTTTGAAGGATAAGAAGTTGTGCTTGATAAGCCGGGCTCTTTTCTAGCTACCCTGCAATGAGTCATTGAATTGTAAAATTTTTAATTGCCGTGAGGTTTTCTGCATGAGTCTTGCTTTTTGGGTAATATTTTACTGTTGCATATTTTATTACTTCATGCATTATACTGAAATTCTCTTTTAATTGGGGACTTGTCTCAGTTCTTTATTTTACCTTTGTTTTCTCTCTTTAGCAGTTCCTTTTATATTTAGTTCTACATTCATAATCTGATTCGTGGAAGTTGGAAAGTATTTGGTCAATCTTTCACAAAAGATGCAAATACTCTTAGCTTATGTGGTATGATGCAGTTTTCTACTGTTTCTTTCAAAATCTAACAATGTTTGCCTACATATGCATGCCCAAGCTTTTATTTTTTGATAGGTAACATAATTTTGATTAGATATGTATGTTCATGCATTTTAACAGTTTTCACTAGCTATACCATGGACAAACGTTAAATTGATTCTCAGTCAGTATGGCAGTGAGGTTTTGAATATTTTATGAAGTTGACAATAAATACCCTTACAAATGCATAAGATAGGAAAAGGTATAAATACAACCTCTAATATATCTGATCACTCGACATCATCACAAAATGAGTTCATTATCCAAAACCCCCCTTAAACTCTACCAAATTAGTAAGGATGATGGCACTTATGAGTTGCTTGTGACAATCAATCTTGTTATGCTTTATTAGTTCATGAAAAAATAAAATTTGATTCACTTGAAGTGCGGATGCCTTCTCATATGGAAGGGCCCTAATTACAATTATCTCCTTGCAGACATTCCACATCGCTTAATTCTTAACTGTGCACTAAGCGATAATAGTTTCTTTATTTTCCATGAATTGAGAAAAGTGGGAAGCTTATGGGAGAAAATGGATAGCAAAACTAATAAAACATGAAACTGACCATCCCAAGGCCTTTGGTCTAGACTATAATACCCAGTTTTATGAAGGAGGTCAAGGGTTCAGATTTTGTCCATCATACAAACCAAATTAACCTACCAAAATGAAATATTGCCAATAATTTCAGAGGACTGAATTGTAGGTTGCTTCATATCAAGGCAACTAACTCAAATCAGAAATAGGTTTGGCATTTGGATTTGATGCCATTATTAAACCACATCATTGTGTGGATAAAAAATACATGCTGATGATGTGGAGTATTACCACTTGAGATCACTGTGGGGCAAACATATATTTTCTACCTGAATCATTGTTATTGATGCTATCTAGATTGGAAACGGGTACCTAAATAAGGTGACCAGTTATCTGCTTATAAAGCGTGGGATAAGGAATATTTGTCTCCCATTTGTGAATGGGTTTCACATTGTTGGGTGGATTGTCTACTCTCTTTCTACTCTCTTTGTCTGTGAGATGTGTAGAAGGGATGTAGTTTCTACCTGCATCATTGTTATTGATGCTATCTAGATTGGAAACATGCACCTAAATAAGGCGACCGGTTATCTGCTTATGAGGTGTGGGATAAGGAATATTTGTTTCCCATTTGTGAATGGGGTTTCACGTTGTTGTGCTATTGTTCCTCCATTGATCAATAATTTCGATCTTTGGGAAGTATCATGATCATCTAATTAGAAAGGTTTCAATTTGTTCAAATGAACGCCTATTGATTCTAACAACTGATTGTAGAGTTGATCATTCGGACCTTTCAATTCATAGATGTGGATCTCAGACCCATGAAGGAGGAAATTCTTTATACTCACAAAGAAAAAAGGAAGTGACTTAGACAAAAAAGAAGTTACTTGGACAAAAAGAGACAAAGTGTCTTGGACCAATCAATCGAAAGTTGATTAATATGTAATCAATCGAACACTACTTGAAAACAGTTCTTTGTTCAGAAACGAAATGTTCCAAATATTCTTCAAAATTCTTGCTCCCATTGGACCATTTGTATCTATACGCATTAGGATCCCGATTCATGGATCTCTCGGTTCGAGAAATAAGAGGATTGAACCATTTCTTCTGACTCTTTTTCAAATTCGATAAATGTTGGTTGATCGTATATTTCATTATAGTTATATGATTCAGAGTATCATTTCCCATTTGATCCCTTTGAATTCCATATTCGAAGTTGTGATCAGATCTATTCATTAAAAATAATCTCATCTATACATTTCTTATGTACCCATAGGTGCTATATTGGATTTGAATCACATTTCAGATCAATCTATATTGATTGACTGCCTCCATTATGTTGTTGCTAGACAATACCACTATTTTTGGATCTTCCAAACCATTCCTACAGGAGAATAATTATTTCCAGTAACGATAATAATGTTTGGAATTATCCTACACATTACTCTAAGGATTTTTTGATCGTGGCTTCGTTTGAGGTAATATTTTGTCACTTGCTAAGGTCTTGATCGATGCAATTAAGAAATTATCAAAAAATCAAACCATTATATAATATATAATTTGCTTTTCTACTGTCTTATTTTGTATTGTTTATCTTAATTGATTCTATTGTTTCTTTTCCCTTTTCTGACAAGTATTGTGTCTGTCACTTGGACATGCTGAGGGCCACGACTTGAACATGGCTTGACGCATCTAGCTGTGTCATGCCATGTTTTTGGCTGGATTTTATAAGTGTCCAATGTGTCTCAGTGTCCATTGAGGTTGATTACAGACAGATATCTAGTTCGTGGTTTTCATGATACCAACGACTCATTTTACTTCCCAGTGTTCATTCTAAAAGGTTAAAACCAGTGTTTTAAAAAACGGCTAGTCGCAACGGACTCGTCCGAGTCGACACGGGAATCGGCCACCCCATGTCGATTCCAATGAAATACACACTATCACCCGGTTCTAGATAAGAACCGGCAATTCACTACAGTAAACCGCTCGTGTCATTACAGTAAAACCCGAGTCGCTGCAGTATTGCTACAGTAAAACACTACAGTATACAACATACTCTTTGTGGGCCGCCACTGTACACACAACCAACTTCCTTATCGTTCTTCCTCATGCTCACCTCAAGAACACGTTAACATGACGTTGGGATTGCCTTTTATCGTGGCATTCAATCTCCAAAGTCTTCGATGTGAGACTTTTACTTTTAATTTTTAAACCACCGGTAGTAGACGAGGTAGCATTTTGTTCGTGCAAATTTCTCCGTACTGACGTTGTGCTCCCGTGGGATCCATAATACAAATCTTAAGCCTATATTCTTAAGACTTTGGCGATGTAAATTCTTGAGCAAATATGAACATTAAAAAAGATGTTTTTCAAGTACAATGTACTACGTGCTTGAATGTCCAATTTTTAGATAACCCAAATTTTTTTTTGTCTCAAAATAATCATCTAGTTATTAATAAGTAGATCCCAAAAATCAAATAAAAAATATCCTAGTGGCATTTAATCATCGATTATTTTCCACCATCTTTTTAGTTTTTTTGTCAAAAAATAAATAAAAGTTAGCTTGACAAAAAAATAAAGTTATGACAAAAAAAATAAAAGTTACATTGACAGAAAACTAAAAGTTATGATAAAAAAAAAAAATTACCTTTACAAAAAAATAAATATTTGTCAAAAAAATAAAAGTTACCTTGACAAAAAAAATAAAATTTATGACAAAAAAAAATAAAATTTACCTTGACAAAAAAATTAAAGTTACGACAGAAAAATAAAAACTACCTTGACAAAAATTTTTTTTTTTTCGAAAAAAATAAAAGTTACCTTGACAAAAAATAAAAGTTAGGACAAAAAATGAAAGTTACCTTGACAAAAAAAATAACTTTTTGTCAAAAAAATAAAATAAAAGTTATCTTGACAAAAAAGTAAAAGTTATATTGACAAAAAAAATAAAAGTTATCTTGGCAAAAAAAAGTTACCTTGGCAAAAACATAAAAGTTACTTTGACAAAAACATAAAAGTTACTTGGGCAGCATCGTCTTCTTATTTTTCTTGTCAATAAAATAAATAAAAGGTAATACAACAAGTATTTATTGTCAATAAATAAATAAAAAGTAGTACAAGTATTATGCTTTTCAAGCACGCATTTGAGTTGCAATTATTCCAGAAACCTAAAAAATTTGATTTTTGAAACCAAAAAAATTAGAAACCTAAAAAGATAGATTTTTGAAAAATTGAAGTGTAATTTCAAAAATTGGTATCGAAAATTGGTATGCATTCTAATAATTTCTATATTGATAACCAAATCTTATATTTTATTTATTAATTTATTTACATGATAAATTATGTAATTTACTATCTTTTATTATATTTATTAATTTATTTGCATTATAAATTATGTAATTTACTAATTTTCTTACAATTGTCGATAATATACTTTAAATTAGATGATATTATAAGATATTTTGGATTTTTTATTATTGTATAGTAAAATAATTATAAAATGTAAACCAACAATTTCAATTTTAGTATATAAGATTATAGTTAGTTAGTGATGGCCATTTTTTATCGATTTTGGTGGCCATTTTTGGTAGCCTTTTTTTCATCGATTTTATCAATTCTTTATTGTAGTCCATCTATGATTATATATTTCATCCATGATAATTCTATGATTTTTCTTTTATGTGATGTAAATTTAATGGTTAATATAAGTTCATATAGGGAAAAAAATCTCAATATTCGTATATTGATGAAAAAAATGAAAGTTAATAATGTAGTACCTCCATTTCTTATTGGATTCCTAAAAAACAACATTTATAATGAATTTTAATAATTTTTTTGGATGTTATTTAAGTCTTAATCCTACCGATTAGGCCGATTCCCGATTCGGATCGCCGATTCACCGATCCTGATGGGTTTTTGAGGTGCTCGATCCGGGGCACCGATCCGTTTTTTAAACCACTGGTTAAAACACCATTTTTGTTCATTAACTTTAGAAATTCTATATGTTTCCCCCATTTTTTTCAAGCTCATGTGTCTGTTTGGTTGGTATTGAGCTTACATAATTCCTTTGTGAAATTGTCAGGTCCCAATATCAAATATCAGAAACTTTTGCATTATTGCACACATCGACCATGGGAAGTCAACTCTGGCCGACAAGCTATTGCAACTGACTGGCACAGTTGATAAAAGGGACATGAAAGAACAGTTTCTTGATAACATGGATTTAGAGAGAGAGAGGGGTATCACTATCAAACTGCAGGTTCGCTTTTGCCATTATTTATTCCTTGCTTGTATCTCACCAATGTGCTTGTTTCTTGCCCAAGCATGTAAATAGCAGCCATCCTTTAGTAGTATCTTTCGCTCTTTAATAGGTTACCGAGTTTTTTGCGAAGTAAAATAATTTTGTATTCTAACCTTTTCAACCTTCTCTGCATTTAATCAAGTTTATATGATTTCTTATTGTTTTCTTTCTACCTTTCAACCTTTCTGAAATGCAAATATCTCACCTATTTTCTGAATTTTCACGGACCAATTATCTATATAATGCACTCAACCCTGTTTATGGTGTTGGCTCTATTTCTCTACTGTGTTGTATGGGATTTTTCTGGAGGATGTCGTCCTGCTCATTATGATACAATTCCGTGATTTTCTGGAGGACATGGACCCTTTCTCGTAACGTGAGGTATTGAGGTTGAGGTTGTCTGTCCCCTATTATAATTAACGGAGGGTTCTAAAACCACCTGGGGCATTTTATTAGTTGTATTGCATCTCCCAGTAATATAATTTTATGCCAATAAGTCTTGTACCTGAGATGTTTGTTAGATGGAACTGTAAATTTTCAGCATACAATGATTTTCTTGAAGCATCAAAAAATAATATCGAAATTTTAGATTCACAGCATTTCATTGATGCTCCAAATATTAAACTTCTTTTGTATTAGTAAGAGTGACATGCAAGTTTTGCCAAAATCTGCTGGTTTGGAATGTTCATTTAGAATCTTTAAAGATTGCATATCCTTAAGGGTACATTTGATAATGGGATGCTCCTGCTTTTGAAGACTCATCTATCCTTTAAGGCTCATTTGTAATGAGATGCCCTGGCTATCGAAACCACATCTTCCTGGAACTGTAGCACTTCCCGTATTTGATAACGGGAAGTGCTATGTTATTTTGGAGCCGCCACTTCCAACATAGTGTAAAAGGGAAGTGGCAGATTCTGTGCTCCGTCATGGAAGCTGCCACTTTGGAAGCGGGAAGATACAACTTCCAAAGTCGTATCTTCCACCAATCAAATCACCCTTAAGGTCCTTTAAAGTTTTGTGTGTCTGGAGTGTTTATACCTTGTGGTCATCTATAAATTTCACTGTGCCTTTTTGCAAAATATCTGCTCTATGAATGATGATTTATGGAACATATTGTTGTTACTCCTGGATTATTGCAGATCCATTACCAAAAACAGTATGGATTACAAGATGAAATAAACTTCTTTAGCATCTGTACAAACAAGTTACCAGACTGGTTTTCCTGTGTACTTCATAACCTATTTCTTACAAATAGTACCTTTCATTTCTGTGATCACCCAAATTCAAAAGTCCATGGAGACCTTCATAAGATCCTTCTAATTGCCGTAAACCATTTTTTTATTGGGGAAACCGAGGGGGCATGAACCACCTCAGCTTAAAACCTTTATTTTAAGGTTGTTGACTGCTGCTTAAGAACAACGGCTAGGGATGTTCTTGATCTCTACCTCTTTGTCAAACAACTGGAGTCCTATTTTGATCCTTATCTGAATTCCATCTCCATGTGCCATTAGAATCCTGTCTCCTATTGTCTCATCTTGTCCCAAAAAGGCAGAAACTGGTACCTTGGATTGTCCTCAATTGCTATGATCTCATTATTAAGAGGCCCGTACTCTACTTGTATATCAATCCCACCAATCTCTTGGAAAAGTGTAATCGTCTTTGTGTTGGTCTATCATGGAGAAGGTCACCTTTCAGATCAATTCTACCAATTCCATAATGGTTCATGTAAGTTGTTTACTTTAAAGATGGGGGAATGATCATGTGTATTAGAAATACACCATGTTATGGTGTATTGGAACCTTTCTGCCCTTTCCTTTAAAAAATACCTTTTTAACTCTAGGAGGTCTGTCTCTTTATCTACACACTGCCATCTTATCTCTCTCTTATCTGCTAGCCTCCAATTCTATCTCTCACTAGTCTTTACTAAAACTCAGTCTCTCCTCCCTTCTGTAGCGAACCATTCTCTATCTCCCAGTAGTCTATGGCAGAACTTCCATTTCACTCTTTCTCCTGTCTGGAGGGCCAATCGAGAGAGAGAAGACCATCACTTGTTTAGAGAGAGAAAGCAATTCCCTGATAGAGTAAAGAGAGATTCTTGCCCAAAGAGTGATGAAGACAATCAGAATATGCCGAAATCCATCACCATTGACGGATAGAGGTAGAGAATAGGATGATTGGAAAGGCACCGCACTTATCTATTTGATCACCATCACCATGGAAGGAGGGGGAATCTAAAGAGAGAAAACACCAACTCATTATCCAAAAAGGAACTAGTTAAGGATTTCTCATATCCCCGTCTATACTTTGCTGATTTAGCACCGTAAACTTTTAAATTTGTATTTATTTTTGTATCAGAATAGTTCAGCATATTGATGCCATTCTAGTCATGGATGAGCCTGATAAATCTTAGAGAATGACCCATCATAAGTAGCTGTGGCAGCCATTTGGTGTGCAAACATGGAACCTTCAAGAAGTAGACCCATATGGTGCTTAAGCAGGTAGTTTCACAGTTCCATGTTCTTCTCGATGAGTTGGTGGAATGAAGGGTTTTTAGGAAATGATGGAAGATTTAGAAGGAGATTGAGAAGCTATTGCACTACGGAGACGTTAGGTCCCTGCTTTCTTTGCTCTCTTTTGCATATCTCTCTTCCCCTATCCCCAAGATATTCTATTTGTTCCTCCTTTCTATATCTCTGGTTTGATATAGAATGCATTGAAACTTTCTTTTCAACCGACTTAAAATTTTTCCAGCCACATAGAGAGAGAGAAAGGGTAAGAATGTAAAAAAATAGATCCCTTAAGAGCTGCTCACAAGTTATCTAGATTAGTATGTTGTAAAATCTTTAAAATACATACCAAACACCGTGTATTTAAAAGAATGGTCGGTCCAAGATTCACATAACCCAAACACTGTGTATTTAAAATACACACCATCATTCCCCTTGAAGATATTGATTCTTATATATGATAAATCTTGATAATTGATACATCCAATGAGCTTTTCTGTTTCTTTTTTGTTTGTAAGCTTACTCTTCTGTAATATCATTAGTAAATCTCCCTCATATTATGTAGCCCATTCTTGATATGCTAGTTCTGGTATTAGCAATGAATGTTAGTGGTTTCCTTTTGATGAATTATTGTAGTTTTAATATTTTTTGTACTTCATGTTCATGATAGTGTTGTGAGTTATTCTTGCTTGATCGTCTCTTTAGTCTGTGATTCTTGTTTATATCTGCTACTTTATCCTTGATGCTGATTTCTAATTTGACGTTCTTGCCTCTTGGCTCCTTTATATGTGTTTTTCTATCAAACCAAGGGGATTAATAACATGTTCCTTTCAATGTCTTCTGGTCTTTATTATAGGCAGCTCGAATGCGTTATGTCATGGATAATGAGCCATATTGTTTAAATCTCATTGACACTCCGGGTCATGTTGATTTCTCCTACGAGGTACAAAAACTAAGATCATTTAAGGATTTGAATTTCGTAAGACTGATCCATTGGAAACCAAGAAAGCCTCTCACTTTCATGCATAATTTGTGCATTTGGCCATGGCTTTCCAAAAAGATCTTCATCAGATGATACTCTGTGGACAACCATATGTTAGGAGCAATTATTTGTTATAGGATTTGATTCACTGTGCTCGCGTTCCACAAGCGTTTTGTTAATTACTCTTTTTTCATAGTCATTTCCACTAGATGCTTGCCCATTCTTGCATGAGAGCACATGTTGCTATGGGAGGTCCTGTTCTAGAATGTCTCACAAAGCGAACAGCAAATTGAAGGGGACTTTTCATCCTGCATGTGTTTTCTTTTCTAATCACCAAATATCAACTGGTCTCCTTTTCTAGTTTGCACTTTTGTTTTGATTCTGTACGAATAGCTTTTAATGCTCCAGTAGTATTAGGTAACTAAAATGCCATGTGGTCATTGTCAATGAGTTCATTTGGTCTCTGAGCAGGTGTTTTGTCATCTGATGTTTTAGTTTCCAATACATGTCCAAACATTTTTTTTTGAGTTGTCATCTGTAGTTTTGCCACGTGTACAACCCAATGTTAGACTGTACATTACTTCTTTTTTTGATTGGTGAACTGTAGAGTAATTCTTATTGTTTTATTATGTGCTTTGCTCGGTTTTGTGAGTTCACATTGGTAATATTTGGATATTTGATGACAGAAATCTTTAGATGGTCCCTTTTAAACTTTTCAACACTCTTCTTGACCTCTCTTAAATTCTGCTTGACCTTGAATATTTTGGGATTTTACGCAATCTTCAATGTTTTTCCTCTCCTCTAGAATATGATAATATGCTCAGGGCTGTTGTGCAATACGTACTCATGTTGTTATAATGTGTATGGAGTTATGTAATTACGACCCACATGGTACGTGCATGTAGGAGAATTTGATAATCGATGCACTGGACATGCTCGAAGCGCATATGGACATAGGAAATCTATGTAGACATGTGTATCTGGAACTTTTCCTTCTCTGGGACTCTTAAACAGGTGTGCCTTCTATGTGGACGCATGAGTCGACATATTGGACAAACAAGATAGACGTGTCTGTTTTGTTAGACACATTTCTACATTGTAACATATGCATTTCCCTTTTGTTAGTCACATGTAGGTGCATGTGTCAAGTGATTTGGACATGCATGTCTTTGAGTTTGAGCCACATGTTTTATTTTGAATTAACTTTATTATTAAAAGATTACAATTAGTCTTATATATAAATGTATATAGTTGCACATTCATTGTATGGGCTTTTACGGATGAGTCATACTGGATTCAGCGAAATCAAAGGCAGTTGTGTCTTTAATTTTGACCCACATGCAGTGTTTCGAAAAGCACTAGGCAGGTCTTACGTGGCTTGGAGGGTCCAGGCTGCCCAGCACCTAGGTGGGTGCCCAGAACCGGGGCGGCCTAGTTGAATCCAAAAAGGATTCTACAGTCTCTAACAATATATATATTATATAAAATATAAGAATTAGGTAATTTAGGGTACATCAGAATTCAAAATATACTGCACATTAGCACACACACTCCTTAAACATAACCATAAGTCGGTCCATATCTAATTGAAACTTAAAATTTACTAACCAAATTACCAAACCAAAGTTACCAAATACCAAACCAGTGGAACTACAAATCGACTATCCACAATACACAACCAAGAGGAAGAAAACAAAAATCAAAGTAATACTTGAAGACTCAAAAGAATCTTCAATCAATGTTTAAAGTTTAATCATTATTCATCATTAGAAAAAGTAGGGTCAGCTGCATTTGCATCATATTGGATTCGTCACCCTCCTCGACATATTGGTCGTTCTCCTTCGTTTCTTATGAATTTGCCTCTTCTTCCTCCTCTTCCTCCACCCTCGTCCTCTGTGTAGGAGATCTAGTGGTCTTAAGAGGGTCGGTTGATGTCCCTAAAGCATCCATGACTATGACCATGTCCCATGTCGACCTCATCATCCCATATTTTTTGATCTGATGGAGTCTCTCTTAACAAACCTGTCCTTCAAGAATCGATTATACTTAACATAGACTAGGTCATTGAGCCTCTTTGATTCATGCATGTTCTTTTTCTTTGTATGAATCTAACAAAATCAAATGAAACTAATTAAAATCTATGGTTCATGTACTATTAATACAATTATACAAATTACCCTCACGACCTTACCCCTTCAAACGTACTCCAATTGCGCTGAAAACTGGATAGGAAGTGGTTAGGTTTAAGATCCGAATGACCAACTTTTGTAAATTTGGAGAACTACATCCATGTTGGCTCCGCCAATTGGCTACAAAGATATAAAATAAAATCATAAATAAATAATAGAATTTTAAAAATGAAACTTGATTACTTGAACAGTTGAACTTGATGAACTTAAGAATATTATTACTATCGGGATCAATTTTGGTCCTTTGCCTCATTGTTATTGGACTCCCACAAGATTTTAATGAACACATGTAATTTATCTGCTCATTAACACATATAATATCCTGGATATCAGGATCAGGGACTAACACATCTACACACTTATTAAATCCAGTCATAATTGTGTCATTTGTGTGTATATCCTTATCAACATAAAAAAATCCAGGTTCAAATAATAACCAGTTGCATGCAATGGTCCATGTCGCTGCCTATCCCATGAATAATCTCCCAAACAGGCTTGTAGCGGTTTTCATCATCATCAAAATTTTGAACTATCTCTCTTTTGCATTTCTCCATAGCCTCATATATGTAGCCTATAGAAGCCTTGTCACTATCAACCATGCGAAGGACTTTGACAAGAAAAAATACCTTAAGAGCGCCCTTCACCCATCTCCAAAAAGCCTTAAAAGTGATAATATCTCTCACCTTCTTCCCAACCTGATCCTTGCACCACTTGCATGCTCTCCAGTCATTCGAGGTAAACACTTGCCTCAACTGCACTCTCCTCAAATGTATGCTATCTAGGCATAAGTACCAGGTCGCAATCTCATGACCCCAAGCCTCACAATCTCTTTCTTCTTTGTAAATCTACGTATCATGCTGAGGGTGAGATAGTAGCTATAAATGAAATTTGTAACTGACTTTGCCTTCTTCACTGCACCTTATATCTTGATTAAACCGTCAAGCGCCTCAAGCATGAGGTTTGTACAATGTGCTGCACATGGTGTCCAAAAGATTCTAGGATAAGCTATGCGCAACAAATTAGCAGCAACAACATTAGGAGCAGCAACAACATTAGCAACCTGTATAATAAGATGCTCCCCAACCTCCTTGATTTCCTTATCTATAACTTGGAATATGTAATGGGCATCATAGGTATAATCAGATGCATCAATAGACCTCAAAAAAACAGTCCCTAAGGACAATTCATAAGTCTTATCACGCCAAGCGTCAGTCATAATAGAAACTCTATACTGAGCCCATGTATCCTTCTTAATTTCTATAACATCCTTCGTGACACTCATTGCTTTTTCAAAAGAGGCTCTGAAAGCTCATATGGGGTTGGGGGTTTCATCTCAGGCCCAAATTGGCCAATTGCCTCTACCCCGACATAGAAGCTGCTTAGGCGAACGGTATTGAAAGGAATACTCGCCTCATAAAACCATGTAGCCATTTAAAAAGTAGCTCTATCTATCTCTTCCTTCTTCATTTTATTTTCAATGGTGGTTTGCTTCTTTGTTTTCTCTCTTGCAACCTCAGGGTTAGGTCGGGGAAAAAAACTTATCCATATGGCCTCTAACTAGAGGCTTCTCATTCCCAAGTAGAAGCAATTACAACTTCCTTTCCCTTTCCCTTTCTCCTGATTATGGATTGTTCTACCTCTTGACATCCCTCTCCATCCTCATCACTAACATCATTTTCATAACTGACCCAAACCCTAGACCTAATCTCTGTTATAGAAGCAAATTTCTCATCTTTTATTATTTTTACCATACTAAAAAAATTGTTTATTTCCTCTTTAACAACATCATGAGCGTTTTTATATGGGGCACCATCTCCCCTGATACCGGCAAGATGTTTTTTGAACCGGTTTATGGCCCTTTTGTATCATTCTAACAAAACTTGCATCTCATGCAATTTTTATCATTAGGATTTGGGTTGTAGCTATTTTTCCAACCGGGATCACGACTCCTATTAGATCTCGAAGAAGGCATCTCAAAATAATACAACTTATACGAACAATAAAAAAAATCACGTATTTTGATTGCTCAATCTCCAAACTTCTACCTCAAAGATTCTTCTAAAGACTCAAAATCTTCTAAAAAACCCTCCAATAGATTTATAAAACATTACAAATTAAATCTAATATCAATGGATGACGTTTTGATCAATTTCTTATAACTTTGAGAAACCTTTTAATCCTAAAGAAATCACAAAAAATTGGTTTTTTGGGGTTTCTCTCTCTCTAAAACGGTCTTTAATATGTTTTAGGTTACAAATAAACCTAAAAACAAGAAATTTGACCCTTTAGTATAAAACAAAATAACAAAAAATGCCCCTACCAAAACTTTTTTCTGCCTTTAGGCGGGGCGCAGTCCCTGGGCGGCCGCCTAGGCGGGTGCCCAGGGTTTTTCGCCTATTTTTGGAGCCTAGGCCTGGGCAATGCGCCCAGGCCCCCTGAACCGCCTAAGCGGCCGCCCAGGCGTTGAGTGGTCTGCTTTTTGAAACACTGCCCACATGTTTTATTTTTATTCATTGTTATTAAAATGTCATAAATTAGTCATACATATATATATATATATATATATATATATATATATATATTTATATATACACAATGGACTTTCTAGACATTACATCGACTTGGTGAGAGATATGTACGATGAAGCACTAACTAGTGTACGAACAATTAGTGGAGAGACGAGTGAGTTTTCAGTGACAGTAGGTCTGCATCAAGGGTCAACATTGAGCCCGTACCTCTTTGTCTTAGTTATGGATTCCTTAACTAGGCACC